CACGCTTTCCTTAAGCTTCTGTTGGTGGTGAGTTAACACGTTTTTACTCTGAGACTACACTGAGGTTTTGAGCTGAGGATTACTTTAAATATATGCAGCTGACTGGGCAGCAAAGGGTGAGTTTAAAATATTAAGGTAACTGGGGTTTGAGATACCCTTTTGTGAGGGAGGAGGAGAGAAGATAAAACTCTTCAGGTAGCACTAGTGATGTCTACTATGCATGCCGTGAGGCAACTTTTTTTTTCAGGGACTGAAATCATGTGAGATCTCAATTGGAAAAAAACTTGTTTATGTAGGTGGGTAAGAACTTCTTATGGACAGATTCAACCTTTATCATTGTGATTTCATGGTTATATTTCACAAGTTCTGATGAATATCTTGCCTGCCCCTTTGAAGTGCACCTGGTGTTTATTTTGAAATAAAATCTTTAGGGAATAAACATCTGAAAGTTTTCAAAATATTTGTGGCCGTAACTAGTAAGTTTAGGGAAGAATGTGAAGCAGTTAATCATGCTGCACGAGCTATTGCAGGTGGATCACTTGCAGGAAAGAGCACAACTGCTACAGAACTATTCCTTGGTTAGGTATAAATGATAAAGAGAAGGTGCATCCAGACTTCCCTTGTACGTGGGCCTGGTGCTGTATTGCTCATCTGGGCAAGTGCCTTATCCAGAGTACAACAGCTGGGTCTTTGAATTTGGTTATCTGCTTAAATGATCTAAAAGGGGAAAAGTACCTAAAAAAGAAAAAGCTGCAGCTCTTCAAACTAGCACTGATGTTCTGCTGTGTGTCTGCACATGGAATTGTTTCCTTGATGAAAGCACTGACTGTAGAGAAATGTAAAGGAAAGGTGAAGGGGAGTATTATGTAAAAATGAGTTCTTGGGAATGTACCTTGTGAATTGCATAAAGCTATAAACAAGATATGGTCCTTCACTTGCTGTTCAGGCTGTTTTCTGTTGTGACAGTGGTATGGTGTGTTTACCAACAAATAGAGCTTAGTAACATGACAAAGGGATGCATATAAAATTTATAGCTAACTTTTTGTTACTTATTAAAGCTTGGCATGCCTAACTGTCACTTTGTGGAAGGTGGTGGAAGAGAAGCAATGTTACGAAGGAGGCAGTCTGACAAAATTAGTGTAATGTTTAATGTGCATTTTTCAATTCTGTAAGTAAAAAGGTTAAGTAACCTTCTTTGCTGATCATGTTAAGTTGTAGCACCAAAGGGCTTAATGAAAACTAATCAGCCAGGTAGAAGAAGAAAAGCACCTAGAGTTTCTGATGCTTTGTCCTGAAAAGAGTCCACTGGTGCCTGTAAGAAGAGACAAAAGCTTGGGTTATACTTTGTGAATTGGACTTCAAATAAAATTGAGACTACTTTTTTCCTATGTCTTAGGATAGAGAGGGATGGTAGCTAGTGTTGGCAGTCATTAGCTGAATGATGCCATATTTATGTGTGCAGAGGTAGTAAAAACTTTTTAAATGTATGACTTGTTAAACAAGATGCTGAGTTATGTCCTGCTAATTCGTTCGTGGAAGCTAAAATCAAAGAGGCTATCAAGTAATGAACTGTTCCTCATCAGTTCTTCCCAAAACCTTTATTGGATAAAAGGTACCAAGTATAGGGCTAAACTTCAGGTGGTCTGGCCAATTTTTTTTTTTATTATTTGTAACCTTACTGTGATTTCTTTTTGCTACCCTTAAAAGTAATGGAAAATTATTAATTGTAAATCGATGTCTGGAAATGGGAAAACTTGAAAACTGATGTCTTCAGGTCACACTCTTCTGTTGTGTGTGGTGAATCCATATCCATATCGTACAAACTTTATTTTCCACTGAGTGTGAGCTGGAGCACATGTCTGTCAAATTTTATTGTGGTTTTGCACTTTGTTATTCAAGTTACTGAGTAGCTGAAGATAAGTTTCTCTTGAGGATTTCTAATACAGCAACTAGTGTTGCAAAAA